ATAAACACATGTGCCTTGAAAAAACTTGAGGTCGTTGTTCATTCTAGCGCATACGCGTGAGGCTCGAAATGCGACCGCCCAAAAATGGCCGACCCCCCCCCCAAGCCGCGCGTGTGCCCATGCACTACTGTTGTTGGTTGTTGGTATTTCAGTGTTTGTTGTTTGTTTTTGTTTCGTTGTTCGTTGTTGGTTGTTGTGTGCTGTTTGGAGGTTGTTGTTTGTTGTTTGGTGTTTGTTGTTTGTTTATTTGTTCGTTTGTGTTGTTGTTGTTTGTGGTGGTGGTGTAGTTGTAGTTGCAGTTGTAGTTGTAGTTGTACTTGTAGTTGTCGTTGTAGTTGTCGTTGTAGTTGCAGTTGTAGTTGTAGTTGCAGTTGTAGTTGTAGTTGTAGCTGCGGTTGTAGTTGTAGTTGCAGTTGTAGTTGTTGTTGCAGCAGCAGCAGCAGCAAAAGCAACAGCAACAAACAACATCAAACAACTAACAACAAACGACAAACAACAGACAACAATCAGCACCCAGCAAACAACTAACAACACGCAAAAACAACAACTATTACCTACAACAACAACTGCATCTACAACAGCAACCGCCGCTACAACTACAACTGCGACTACAACTACAGTTGCAAGTGCAACTACAAGAAACGACGACTACAACTACGATTGCGACTACAACTATAACTACAACTACAACTACAACTGCTGCTGTTGTTGTTGTTGTTGTTGGTGGTGGTGGTGGTGGTGATGTTGTTGTTGTTGCTGTTGCTGTTGTTGCGTTTGTTGTGTGTGTTGTGTTTGTTGTGTTTGTTGCGTTTGTTGTGGTAGTCGTGTGTGTGTGTTGCGTTTGTTGTTTGTTGTTTGTTGTTTGCTGTTTGTTGTTTGCTGTTTGTTGTTTGTTGTTTGTTGTTTGTTGTTTGTTTTGCGTTGTTTGTTGTTAGTTGCTTGTTGTTTGTGTTGTTTGCGTTGTTTGTCAAAACATAATGCACGGCACTCCTGAACACACACACATGTGAAAACAACAACTAATGCAAAACCAAATGCCAAAAAAAGCAAGTTGCCTTCAACCTCGCCAACATCCTCGAGATAATCGAGAACGGCATTCCTGAACACACACATGCGAAAAAAACAACAAAAATGCAAAACTAAAGTTCAACAATGCAAGTTGCCTTCAACCTGACCTACCTCTTCGAGATAATTCGAGATAATTCGAGATAGCCAAAAACCCCCAAATCTAGACCCCATGAATCTAGACCCCATAAATTGGTTAGGGACTATACGCAAGGGTGCTGTTCATCCACTTGCCCCTGTCAAGCGCTCGAAACCACGATCATCGAAGCCTTCTGCACACAGTTGCAACACAGAGCAGTCTTTTGCATCGACACGTGCTACAGCAGCTCAGGCTTATCCTGAAGATGCAGCTTGCAATTTTGGAGCAACTCAGGCCCTCGTCACTGAACTCTTGTCCCAGCTCCATGAGGCTCGTAGTAAGAACAGAAAGCTCAAGCGCAATTTTCGCCAGAACAAAGCAACTATCAAACAATTGACTATGCAGGCGAAGACCTCCCGCCCTGTGCTACAAAGGCACAGGCAGTCTCAGGATGTCACTTCAGCTCGACCGCCACTGCCTAGAAAAAGACACTGTCAGGGTGGAGAAACATGTTGTCTTGCTCCCGGCATCAGTATTTACATGCTTCACATCCTTCCTGTGGCTTCGATCTGCATTTGCCTGTACCTCCTATTTGGGGATATGTTGAGAAACCTCTCCCTCCATCCCTCTGATGCTGTTCCTGGCAATTGGCTTCTCCCAGTTGCGTTTGAGATCATCCGTGATTTTCAGATCCAAGATCTTGATTTTCTGCTTCGTTCTTGTGGATTCCATATTCAGGCTTATTGCAATTCTAGGTGTGGCTCTCTGGCCTCCCTTTGCTTGCAAACGTGGAGCTTGGATTCGTTCATCGCCCCATTCAATTTCGGCTTTGCACTTTGTTCCCCCTCATTGATTCGACTCTTGCCTGTTTCTGGCTTCCTGGCAGGTTGGTATTTGGTATGATTATCGTCGCTTCGCTGACTCTCCTGGATGGACTGCATCATCAACATGCTCCTTATCTTCCTCGGCCACCGCTTCTTCAATACCATGCTATACTGCAATACGTCACAATATTGCTTGTCACACGCGGTGTCCTCCAAGGTGGTATGGAATGGTATCCGGGCGTTGAGACTCGACGATGGAGACCTGGAGCTCTTCCTCTTGATCTTATGGAACTTGCTAGTGCGCTGGATCTTTGCCCTTTCAATGATCTAATTCTGCAGCTTGCACCTCTGACGAAGTTCTTTACTTTCAATAAGCTGGCCACTATTCCCCATGAAGAGATTGCCCAGCTCACTGGATTGGATTCTTTGCTGGCAAAATAGGTTTTCATCATGATCTTCAACTCAGAGGAGCCATTTTTGATCTCTATAAGCACGTTGCTGTTCCTGACAGGCTTCGTCTTTATCGCGCGCTTCTTGACCAGAATGTAGATGGTAAGTATCTTCGGGAAATCACTCCTGCAGACATTCCTGAGCTTTCCCCAGATCACTCTTCAGGATTGCCAGGCGGGTTTCTGGAGAGTGTCTTGACTCTTCATCTGATGAGGACCTTCCTAAGGAGCTTGGGTTTTATTGTCACTGGAGGAACGGCCACGATTCCCCTCTCTCCTTTCTCTCTCTCTGGTGGAGCGCCCAAATTTGTTTTCGGGAATTCTACCCCTTTTACCACTGGTTCTTCAGATGGCCCTTCTGCGCGGAATGCGCTTTCTATTTGTAGGCAAGTTCAGGCTTACATGGATGACCTTCTCTCCTATCAAGCCGAGCTTCGTTTGCAGAATGCAAGATTGGTGCAGCTTCTACAAAGGCAATACGAAAGAATGTGTGCCCTTAACAGGGAAATCCATCTTCTTAGACACAATGCTGCTGCTTCTTCTTCGAATTGTTTGGCCCAATTTTCCTCTGCAATGAGCTGCCCAGTATTACCCCCACTGTTCCATTTTCGGTGGTCTCAAACGTCAGAATTGATTCTGAAGTGCCTCAGATTAGGAATGCTAATGGGACCCTTGCTGTCCAAGCTGTGCACGATATCGATCCCATAGATGCCTATTCTTCGGCCGAGCCAGAAGATCATGTTACTGGAGGAGCCGAGGTACTCCCGCTTCAGAATCCGGGAACACTGCTCAAGATGTTGGAAAAGCTGTTCAGAAGCTCCTCAAAATTGGAACTGGCTCTGACAACAAGCAAATTAGAGCCCTTTTGCTTCTCAACCCGAAGTTGGTTCCCAAAACTATTAGCGATCAACCTGTTCCCAATCTTTTGAGTATGGTCACTGCTGCTGCTCGACGTATTGGCCTTGCCCCTATTTCAGAGTTTGATAGGCAGCCTCCCCCTGTGGCTCCCAGAGCCAATACCAAGGGTCCTGGGGATTCCAAGGGCAAACCCCAGCTTGCTCTGCTGCACTTTCAGGACTTCGACAGCTCTCAGTTGCATGCTAGGTCCTCAACGGCTTCCCCAGCATTGGTGCTATGCGACAAGGGTGGAGACTCGCTAGGAACGATATCCTCCCGGCTGCCTTCCGTATGCTTTGCAAGATTAATGATGAACACGTTGCTTCTGGCAAACATCCCTCCAAAATCTATGTGGTTTTTGAAGACGTGGTCGTGGTGTTGCGCATTGCCAACTGGAGAAACAACCCTTTCTTTGACAGATTTACCCTTCGTAGGAGACTTGTTTGCAAGACTGCTGCTCCAACTGTTCTCGCGCGCAGGCGTCCTTTTACATTTGCCCCTGACACTGACGTTACTCTTGATCCCAGCAGTCCCTCTATTTGTACTGACATTCAAAATTCGCTGAAGTTCAGGCCCTTCGAGTCTGTCCCCCTTGACATTTGGGTTTCCCTTGACGGTCTTTCTATTCGAAAGGCCCTCAAGGTTGCTGCGGTCCAATTTCGTGGCGCTATTACGAGATGGGCCTTTATTCGCACCTCTTGGGAGAACCGCCTTATTTTGGACAACTGTGTCGCGCACGCCTGGACTCCTTCCTGGCATTTGGCTGTGCCTATCTGCGCGCTCTGTGGTTACAGGTGTGGGCGCCGGCAGCGCCTTCTCTTGCCTCTCCAGCATGCCAAGTGCACTGTGGTTGCTTCTTCGCAGCTTGTTATTAACAATGTGCACGATGCTATCGCTGACTGCGATGCAAGTCTGACCACGCTCAAGTCCCTTCTTGCTAAGGTGTCCGGGTAATCGTGTCACCCCTCTTGTCTCGTTCTCATCGGGCCAAAGTGCCCACCCCGCACGCGACCGAAGGCTATGGCCGGTGGAAGGAGGTTTGCCCATGGAATATTGTAGCCCTCTATATGCATACATATATATATAGATAGATAAGATAGATAGATAGATAGATAGATAGATAGATAGATAGATAGATAGATATATGCAGAGGTAGATAGATGGGGCTTCCTCGTGAAGTTCTGAAGTCCCCGCCCGGTTTAGTACTCTTCTCATCGTTTCATCGATTGTGTTAGTAGACTGGTCTGGGGATGGCCACCCAAATTCTTCCCTTCTCCTTTTGGGGGAAACCACCAATGTAGTTGTTTTTGCGCGTGTACAGGAGGATGTGAGATGAATTCAAACAGCGCCTTAGGGCTGAGGCATGATCCCGGCTCCAAGACTTAAACATTTTTTTTCCGTTGGGGTGGTGTGAATGCACCTCGGATGAGTCGTGTAAGTCCAGTTGGGATTTGTAGCCATGATGAGTCAAAGACCACGTTTACACCGGACCTGAACATGGGCAATGTCCTGATGAGTTAGGTGGCAACCCCCTTTTGAAACAAAAGCCCAATCCGTCCAGGGACCCTACTTAGATGGCCTGAGGAAAGCTAAGTCGTCATTCGTAGCCCCCTATAGTTTCCTGAGCCCCCTGCCCCCCTCGCATTTTGAAAGAACTCCCAACCTGGCGAGTGGGTCATTTGTTAGGCAGATGAGTGGCTCCAGATGGACGTGACGCCGCCCCTGCCCAAGAATTGGAAGGCGCAAGATGGGGCGGGGAAAAGACTCGGGACATCGAAAGGGTGTTCCACGCAATGCTTGACATGTGGTTGTTAAACAGCAAAAACTACTTGCATGCAAGTTTTGATTTGGCTATGTTGCTTCTTTGTTCCATTCTTCAAGTAGCGGCGAGAACACGAGACCAGTCTTTGGTCGCAGTGTAAAGTGAAGGTTCATACTGCACCCAATGGAGATAGATCCTACATAACCAGTACGTCTCCCAATGATAGGGTTGCTCCCATGCTATCCAGGTTTTGGAAGATGCCCACAGCAATTCAATTTTGGCCGTTCATTCCGTTGCTGCTTTTCATGGCCGGAAAAAAGGGCTGGTCCAAAGCAGTCCTACCATATACCGGGTTGATCAAAAGGTCCTTTACACGGTGTGACCATTGGGGAAACCACCAAACAAGATGACTTTCACCGCTAAATGGGAAAAGTTAATCATAGTCATTTTGCCAGATACTGGCTTTGTATTCTTGTTGTCGTGTCGCACGGATTACGGATACCCCATTTTGAGCCACCCAGTGTATTTTCTTCGGCATGCGCCCAGTGCAACCAGGACCAAAGACCATGAATTGCGACTTAGAGGACGTCAGCCAACAAGGAGGCTAAAATGGTGATGAGTTCGTTTTGCATGGTCAAGGGACGGGTGCCAAGGCGTTGGTAGGCATGGTCGATACCTCTAAATGGGGTTTAAGAAACCGATGTAAAGGTTGCCATTGAGACCATGACCCCGCCAAAGGAGTTTCAACCTTCAGACATGTGCATATTACTTAGCCCATTCCCTGAAATTGTTTTTGACCACAATCTGCAAACGAACCAGTTTCTGGCTCGGAGACTCCTCTTTTTGTGCCGGAAGGTGCGCACATCGGGCGAGCAGAGAGGCGCGGAGCTTCTGCTGTGCTCTGTGAGCGAAATGCTCCTTGAAATGGGTCCCAAGCTTCCGATTACAAACCACATTCCTCTTTGCTACCATGTATCCCATGGTCAGGGGGCCCTCAAAAACCCAAGACGCCCCCCCAAAAAGGAACCCGATTCGCCCCCAATGGGCCTTATTAGTCGATATGGACCCTGTTGGGGGGGGGCCATTGACAACCAGAGGAATATGTGTATATATATATATATATATATATCGGTATTTTTGTATGTATATATATATATATGTTATATAGATGTATAGGGTATGTAATTCCTGCAAATTATGGGTGCATCGACGACGGCCCAGTTGAAGTTACACGCTCACCTGCACATTAACCTGGAACCCCCAAAGCCATCCAGTTTTGCTGCATTCTAGCGGCAGCTTCAACCATCCATTCCAGGGCTTTTTGCAAGTGAGCAATAGTCCATTCAGCATGCCCACAGAGCTTCACCTTTGAGTGGCTAGTCATGAACAGGTGCCCTTTTGGTGATGTGATGTTTGAGGGCACCCAAAGAGGTAGGCTGGCATGGAGAGACCTTTGTCTTCCGAGCATCCCATGAATCTGGGCCGAGCGTTGTGTGGATCATAGCAATTTGCCCTGGTTTGAGAATCCTTCAGAAAGCCGGCCTGCTTGCAGCGCCAAAATTTGGCCTGGTGTAAAGGGGGGCCTACGGGCTTGTCTCCAAATTGGGAACCTCACACAGTCGCGGGCGGCTGTTGCTTTTTGGCAACCAACCCCAAGTGGCGCACGAAATCGACTCGACGACGCCAATGAACCCTAAGTGGAGTGGACCAGTGGACCCGGGTGCAGTTCAGATATAACAAGGAAACATGTTCTTCGGCCTTCACGGTAGACGATGAGCAGGCGGACTTTTGAGTTGTACTTGTTGTCAATGCTGAGTACCAAAAGGGCCTAAGTAATGTGAATCGGGATTTGGGGTACCAAAAAGCCAAAATTTGGCATGCGTGGGAAAGCAATGTTGGTAATTACTTGTTTGGCCCCTTGTGCTACTTATCAGGATGAGGACTGTCCATGGAGGGGCAACTGTGCCTGGGGACCAGAATTGGTTTTGGCGGGAAATGGATTGTGTATGGGGTCAAGTTCCGCCGCATCCCGGACCACTCAAGGGGTCCTTACAGACAGTCCCATTTTTTAGAATCCCAAAGCAGTCAAATTGGACCCTCAGGATTAACCATTCTATTCTTGGGGGTCTGTCCGAAAAATTGCACAAAGCATGTTAGGAAGCGGGTTTTCCGTGCCTAGACCAATTGTGTTATTGTTTGCTGTTCCTTTAAGCAAAACCAAGGGTTGCTCAAGCGTATGTGGCAACTAACCCTGGTTCCTGGTCCCTTATCCCTGTTTGCAAGATGGGAAACACTCCTTCGTGTCAGGATCCTGGCCTGAATGAGCACTTAGTAAGTGATACATCCCTGTAAACCGCGCTGAGCGGGAATTTCCCCACATTTAACCCACACTGGGGATGTGAGCCACTTACCTGACATGGCATGGTCAAGCAGACCCCAGCCTGGATGGATGCAGCCCTGAATGCTGGTTATAAAGCATCGAATGTTCTCTGCCAATCGGCCTGGATTTTTTTGTTTGCCCATCCTCAGAAAGGGGCTGCCGGGTCAACACCTCGCAAGCTCGGCCAGGCGATGCCGAAGACAATGCCATCCTCGGCCGCGTTGAGGCGATTCGAAGTTTGCATCGGGCGGTCGGTTCAGAGCGGCTTCGTCATCTCAAACTTAGGCCCCCAGGTTTAGGGGGCTCGCCCTTGGACATATACCAAAAAACCGGGTGCTTGTTTGGCATATTTCCCTTGTAAAGGGGGGGCCAACTGCTGCTCGAAGAACCTACAGCAAAGTGGGGTGGGCAGCGAAAACCCGGTTTTGCACCTGCTACTCGTCAAGAGCCCTCTTTCTTGTAGGCTTTTGGAGTAGCAGGGAACTGCCATTGTAGTCCCCAGTTTCTCCGCGCCCTTTCCCTTACTTTTTCTCCATGTAGCAAAATCTCACCCGAGTTCCTTTGAACAAAAAAACAATCACCTATTGGGCAGGAAGTGAGGCAGCAAATGCGCGGTGCGAATTTCACCATTGCACGGGGGGGAACCAGTGTTGGGTGGTTTGCACCCCCGCAGAAAAAACATTTCTGCAGGAACGTGGGGGTTGCCATAGAAACTAGTGCTGAAAGCTAATTTGGTCGCCAAGTCTTGCAACCAGGAGTCCTTTTGTCCCCTTTCTGATTGGATTGCTTCCCATGGGAGAGGCAAGAGTAACCTTTTCGTTCAGTGTGAAACAAAATAATACGGACCCCTCAAAGACTGTTTTATGAGTGTTTTTTTTCCCAACCAAAAGGCTCTGCCGAAAGCGAAAATGAACCAGCCTTACGAACCTGCGGCCCTACAGTAATGTGCGGCTCTGTTGCCGACAGCAACGGGGACCACGGATGCATAAGCCCGGAAACCACCCGACCGCACAGCCGGCCCCCAAGTCAGTAAGCAGTCAAAACTACATACAACAGGTATCCTGGACCGCTAGCCACTGACGAGCCTGGCCAGGGGGGTGGGGTGGTTAGCAAAAGGATGGATCACGACAAACCATCACTTGTGGTTTCTGTTCAACAGTTTGATTCCCAAAACCCCGAATTGATTTCTTATACTTGGAACCAGCCAGCATTTCCGGCCATTTCCGCGGTTCCCAAAAATGGGACACCAAACAACTTGCTGGTTCTCAACAGGGAATGAAGCAATGACCCCTATGAACCATCCTCTATGTGGTTTCCTTATGTTTCCTTTAAGGGAGTCCCCTTTCGGTTCATTCCCAACACCCGGAACGGTCATTCCCTACCTATCGCACCAGCAAGACAACGGCAAACCAAGCAGAATCCAAACACCCACCAAGCACTTGCTGGTGCTCAGGGAACGTGGGAATAGGGCTCCCCTTAAAGGAAACCACCCGTTGGCTGGTTTTTCTTGGTCAGAAACCACGTCTCCGGGCCCCCGATTTCGCACCAAACGAAAAAGCGAGTCAGGCGCTGGAGAGGAGCCTGTCGCAGCTGAAGCGGAAGCTGGAGGCTTGGATGGAGACTCTTTTCCGTGACTTTTGGAAAATATTACGTTTTTTGGTTCTTTTTCTTTTGCGCAGGGTGTCCGTTCCTGCGTGTTTTTGCTTTTTTGTGTTTTGTTTTCTCCCCCCTGTTTTTTCTGAGTTGTTTTGTTTGTGTTTGCGGATGGTTTCCAACTTTAGCATCAAGCCATTGAAATCCTTCAAACAAAGTAGAGAAGTGTCTACATGTTTTGCCATTAAAGTGCACTGGGCTTCTTAGGCGTTTCGGGGGGAGGCCTCAATTTATGCCAAAGGGGGATGACCCCTCAACCCAAAGCTGATGTGGCCTTTGCATCCCTGTTTGTTGGATGGTTTGAAATTTCCATGTAATTATGCAGGGTCATGCAGGCTACAAAGGCACAACTTGAAAGTCTTAGATAAAGACCTCAGTAAGGACATCTTTAAAAACTTAAATTAACACGGACGGAGGGGTTCCTCAAAACGGAGATCCCAGTTTTGACGAGCCCAGGAAAACAATACGTCAAAACTGGGAGCCGCTCCGGCGGGTTGGTTTCCCTGATGCTTCTTGGTTGTAGCCTGCTTTGCATGGATAGAGCAGCGCCCAAAACGGATTCCCATTGGCCATTTAGCAGGCTCTGCTACCTGATCTTGTGGTGGTTAGTAAGGCCTATACAAACCTTGTTAACCATGTTAGAAGAGCCGAAAGGTGCCGAAAGCCAATGGGTCTTTGGCGCTGCGCAAATGGCATGCGAGGGCAAGCTCTTGTTGGCGGGCTGATCTACGTTGGCCAAGGCGTGTGAATTTGGCCTTGGTGGACCATGGCGTGCGGAACGCGTCATCGGTGCAGATCGTTGGATGCGGGTGTGACTTCCCCAAAGTACGGAGAACTGTGGAATAATTGTTAGTCGCGTGCTCAAATATTCATCCAAGCGCTTCTGTCTGCAAGCACTCTGTTTGGGTTTGCAGCAGAAGAAAGCTGAAAGCGCTTGGCCCAGCTTGAGGCGCGTGCGAGCTTCGCGGACTTGGGTTTTGCATTGAGGACTTCTCGATACACCGTGGTCAGACAGTGGGTGTCTCTCAAAGCAGGGTTTGGGTCGCTGAACTATCAACTTCTTTTTTGGGTTGCTTCTTCCCAGGAACATCGAATCCCCCTGCGAAACAAGGAGTTTTACTCAAAAGGGTCTGGCTTCCTTCCGGTAACGGGAGTACCTTCTTCCACTTGTTTTCTGCATCCGTCAGGTGTCCAGCATCCTGGAACCTATCTGGAACACACGAGGATCACCCAATCTGGGTTTGCCCCCCCAAAAAAGGGAAGCCCAACAATGGTGGCGTTCCCTATTGGTTTCCCACAAGCTAACCCAAAAAAGGTTGCCCTACAAGAGGCACACCCGTGTGTTTACATATATATATATATATATATGTGTATATACATACATACAGTTATGTTTAAGAATTACCAGGTCATATATATATATATATGGCTAGATACATATATATATATATATACACATGCATATATATATATATACACATGCATATATATATATATATACATACATATATACACATATACATATGTATATTTACATATGTATGTATATAGAGAAGAACCAGTCAACCGATTTCTGACCCCACACAACTTCTTTCGGGCTCGCGTGGGGCTTTCGAAGCTCGCGCCAGGCCTCGGAGGTGAGAATGGACGACCAGGAGGCGGTGCGCCGGGGACAGCCGCGGCCTCGGATGGGCCAAGTGGCGAGTGAGGGCGTAGCCGCGCAGGGGCGGCTGGCTGCGATCTGTTTGGGTCTCGCCCAAAGGAGCTTGTAGACTCGCTTGTGGATGGGCGGGTGCGATTTGCTGAAGTTTCTAGGCCCAGGAGCTGGTGGAATCCTTTTTCGGGCAATCTTAGGGTTGTTCTGGGGCGAGGTCGCAGGCTGAGGGCATTCTGATTTTGGAGCGGTGAGCTATGATTGATATGGATTCTACCTTCTTGGTCGACTTTTGCGGGTAAGCACTTTTGCCTTCGTTTTGAATTGAAGCGGCAGACGCCGGCCTCCTCATTTGTTTGTCAACATTTTGGTCCACATTTGGCCAACATGTGTTAGGGCCTACCCCCGAGCCTTGATAGGGGCAAACGGGTTTTGGTGTGAGGGAGGCCGGTAGGGTCCCTCATGTTTGGGTCGATCACAAACATAGTCAATCCACCGTTGCTTCAATATGCAGTTTTCTCTTGGAAACGTCCCACTTTGAATCTATGGTTATGTCTATGCAAAAGATCGCGCTTTTTCCAGCGCTTGAGCCAATGGCCGTCGCCATTGAATGGTTCCGTGTGCATCATGTTTCTGTTGAACATGCACACTCCCCCTGCAGCCTTCGGCTGCATTCAAACTTCTTCCCATTCAGAAGAAGAAACTGAAAATTCCTCCGCCAAATCCCCAGCACCATCTGCTACCGGAAGACTCGATGGAGTCCTAGGTTTTGCCTCCATAGTGCTCGCCCGTGTAGTAGTCCTCCCTCGTCCGCCAGCCTTCGCCTTTGGAAATGTGACTACGGGGCCAGCATCTTTCCCACGCTCCTCTGGGCCTCCTCGCGCATAGCCTCCGGATCCAACTTAGTCCCCAGAGCCCCTTGCGCTTGGATCAATGCCCCTCGAAGCGATTCCACGGTCCTTCACGGACGACCAGCCGGAATTCCTCTCCTTCCTGACCTTGATCTGGAAGAAAGTGTACCCTCGCCATGGTTGCATTTGCGAGGTTCGTTGTCGCTCCTGATGAGCGGTCCAGCTGTCCTCCTCGACGGACCGGATACCCAAAGGCGATGTGCCCGTGTGTAGCTTCACCGTGATCCTCCTCGACTCCAACCGCGCTGCATCCAGCGGGAACTCTCGATGGATCGGGTGAAACCTGCGTTTTCGAGGTTTGCCATGTGCACGGATTGCCCATCCCGGCTGGGACCAATCCCACTCGTCCTTGTTCTTGTTCTTGAGCATCGGGGGGACCTTGTACTCCTCGAGCTCCCACGGGAGTACTGGTCCATCCTGATGAAGGTCTTCTTCTTGATTATCTGACCTCCTCCCCTCCTCCGTCTTCTCCTCAATCTTATTTGCCTGCTTGGTCTCCACATTCGGCTGCTTCGACAACCACCTCAAGGCTCGCAGCCGCGGTCGAACTTCTCGCTGGCTTGGGGCCCTGATGTGGGTGTTCCCAATCCTGGGACGGGCTGGTCCCGCATCATCCGGGTTGTTGTCATCCCTCGGACTGCGGCTTCGTTCACGCTCACCCGGTAGTGAAGTGATTCCCAAGTCCCGCAAGCTCACATTGCCTCGCAGTGGAGCCACGGAAGTCGTAGATCCCGTCCAGGCATCTGCTTCGCGAAAAGCTTCCATCCTCCAATTGTCATTGATCACCCGCCGCCCTCGCTCGATATCGACGAAAACCAAATTGGTCTGTCGCCGACTTTCCAGCATCGTGGCGTTGACCCCCGGAGGCATGTTCCTCGGATCCGGTTGAAAATCCCGGTTTCTCCTCAGCATATGAATGCGGGTCGCCACGATGAAGTCTCGCTCAAACGTCACCTCCCAAAAGTCCTCAGGCTCCTCATCCTGTGACCCACGAATTGGACCACCAGGTGGTTCAGGCCATGGCTCACTTGGTGCCTCGATTGGCACCCGACCTTTACCTATTGATGCAGTGCAGCCCGTAGGGCAGTGGTAAAACGGCAAGCGGCAGGGGTCCTCTTGTTTTACCCTCGGGGCTGGTTCATTTTCCCTAGCCCATCTTGACGTCGCCGGTTCATGTTCCCTGGCGATCTTCCTCTCTGTCGGTTCATCTTCCCTGACAGAGGGCCTTGCCTTCACCGGTTCATCACCCCTGGTGACAAGCCCCTTGGTGTGGTCGGTTCATCTTCCCTGACCATCTTGGCAATCCTTCCCTCGAAGTTGCCTTGCTGTGCGGCTGGTTCATCATCCCTACTGGGATAGGGTCGTACTTACGCTGGAGATATAAGTGACTTAGCACTTAGCTTGGACTTATAAGTAACTTATCTTGAACTTAGAAAAGAGGTTTTTCTAAGTCCGCTAAGTTCATTCTAAGTTCATTGAGTTTGCAAACACATGCGTTTTGAAGCATGGCAGTGATGAAGCATTACGCGCTGGAAATCACACATTTTCGTGTGACTCAACGCAGCAGGGCAGGCGCGCGCGCGCATGCAGTTTACGCTGTTTGTTCGCGCTGCTTCGCACGCTTGGCTCGATGGAGCCGGAGCATTTTTTGCACTGATTGACTCGGTCTAATTTTGTTGTGCGATAATCGTTTCTATATAGTGTCTCCGCTGGCGGCCGGTCCGCCTTCATATAGTCGCATCTCCGCCGGCGGCCGGTCCGCCCATTTTGCTTTTCTCGTTTGATGATATATCATTGTAGCGGTGGTTCCGCTGGCGGCCGGTCCGCCAAGCTTTTTTTGCCACGTTCATTTTCATTTCGAGATGGCACTTGAAGCGGTTGTCCGCTGGCGGCTGGTCCGCCCAGGAATTGTTCGGCGTGATTTTTATTTCGAGATGGCACTTGAAGCGGTGGTCTGATGGCACCTTGCGATTTTTTGCATGTTTGGATTGTGAGTGCGCGGATGAAAGGCTGCAAGACTCAATCAAGGCTCCAGAATCCAGACTGCTGACTGCAAACTCCACACTCCAGACTGCAGACTCCAGACTGCAGACTCCAAACTGCAGACTCCAGACTGCAAACTCCAGACTCCAGACTGCAGACTCCAGACTGCAGACTCCAGGCTGCAGACTCCAGACTGCAGACTCCAGACTGCAGACTCCAAACTGCAGACTCCGGACTGCGAACTCCAAACTCCAGACTGCAGACTCCAGACTGCAGACTTCAGACTGCAAACTCCAGACTCCAGACTGCAGACTCCAGACTGCAAACTCCAGGCTCCAGAGTGCAAACTCCAGACTCCAAACTGCAGACTCCAGACTGCAGACTCCAGACTGCAGACTGCAGACTCCAGACCAGACTGCAAACTCCAGACTCCCGATGCAGACTCCAGACTCCAGACTGCCAACTCCAGAATCAAGACTGCAGACTCCAGGCTCCAGAATGCAAACTCCACAGACAGACTGCAGACTCCAGACTCCAGACTCCAGACTGCAGACTCCAGACTCCAGACTGCAGACTCCAGGCTGCAGACTCCAGACTGCAGACTCCAGACTGCAGACTCCAGACTGCAGACTCCTGACTCCAGATCCAGACTCCTGACTCCAGAATTCACAGTCCAGACCCCAGAATCCAGCATCCAGACAGCCCCGCCCCAAAGCCCGGAAAGGCCGGTGCAGTTTTTCCAACTTAACAAAACTTAACTTAACTTAACCTGGGCGGGTCGTGTGGAGCCGTGGAGTCCCTATTGTAACTCAATCAACTTAACTGCAAAACTTTCCCCGTGAGGCCCAGTTGCGTCACCACGACTTAACATAACTTAACTTGGCCCCGTGGCCGAATTCCACCACAAAATGATCAGGATCCTGGAGCCAGGAGTCATTGTGTCTGGAATCTGGAATCTCGAGTCTGCAGTCTGGATTCTGGAGTTGGCAGTCTGGACTCTGCAGTCTGGAGTCTGCGGTCTGGAGTCTGCAGTCTGGAGTTTGCAGTCTGGAGTCTGGAGTTTGCAGTCTGCAGTTTGGAGTCTGCAGTTGGAGTCTGCAGTCTGGAGTGTGGAGTTTGCAGTCAGCAGTCTGGATTCTGGAGTCTTGATTGAGTCTTGCAGCCTTTCACCCGCGCACTCACAATCCAAACATGCAAAAAATCGCAAGGCGCCATCAGACCACCGCTTCAAGTGCCATCTCGAAATAAAAATCACGCCGAACAATTCCTGGGCGGACCAGCCGCCAGCGGACAACCGCTTCAAGTGCCATCTCGAAATGAAAATGAACGTGGCAAAAAAAGCTTGGCGGACCGGCCGCCAGCGGAACCACCGCTACAATGATATATCATCAAACGAGAAAAGCAAAATGGGCGGACCGGCCGCCGGCGGAGAAACCACCCCATGCGACTATATGAAGGCGGACCGGCCGCCAGCGGAGACACTATATAGAAACGATTATTGGACAACAAAATTAAACCGAGTCAATCAGTGCAAAAAATGCTCCGGCTCCATCGAGCCAAGCGTGCGAAGCAGCGCGAACAAACAGCGTAAACTGCATGCGCGATGGCTCACTGCGCGGTCCTGCCGCGATGGCTCACTGCGCGGTCCTGCCGCGATGGTCGCTGCGCGGTCCTGCCGCGATGGTCGTTGCGCGGTCCTGCCGCGATGGTCGCTGCGCGGTCCTGCCGCGATGGTCGCTGCGCGGTCCTGCCGCGATGGTCGCTGCGCGGTCCTGCCGCGATGGCTCGCTGCGCGGTCCTGCCGCGATGGCTCACTGCGCGGTCCTGCCGCGATGGTCACTGCGCGGTCCTGCCGCGATGTGTTTTCCAAACATGGAAGCGGCCCCGCCGCCGCTACGCCGTGTTCCGCCCTGCGCGGTCTAGCCGGGAGCGACCGTACGTCTCGAAAAATGATGCGCGCGCGCGTAGTCCGGTGTCAGGCTTTCTCTCTCGTTCAGCGATGTGGTCCGCGACATGTCAGGGATAGCGCACGCGTGCTTTTTCGCACGCAGGCAGACACGTAGACTCAGCGAGGTAGACGCGTTTGGGACATTGCTTCGCAAGCGCTGAATGACCGAAGGCTGTTTT